TTCACTGCTATCGTGTGCTATTAAACAATGTTGAACAAAAACTAGTAGCACCTGTGAAATGTTATGTGCACTCGCGCGTAGTGCCGCGTCATGTGCATAGGAACGTGAAAAAAATCGAGAGTAAAAAGCTGCGCGTGCGCGGTGTTTTTTTGTTAACCTGAAGGCACTTAAGAGAGGTAATAGGATAGCGAATTTTCCTCTCGAATTGTAGCGTCCATCCCGGCAATCTTGCAGAGGCAAAAACACTTTTAATTTTACGGGGTAAGAATAGGACCTTGTTGACAACGCGCTAGTGATAGTTAATTATCACAAGGACATCAAACCTTGTGATAATTAACTATCACTCGCGCTTGGTCAATCTATAGATCGTTATGGCCATCGTTTAATATCACGGGGCGAATAGGTGAGTATGTTTATTGTACATAAAAAAGGGGAAATATTATGAAGTAGAGGTCCCCCCTGCGGTGTCACTCGCGGTAATTTGAGGAAAACGGTTGTAGTGATTCAAACTTAAAAGATGGAAATATGCGGACTTTTTTATAGAACTTTTAAATGGAAAAAATTCCTTATATACATACTCATACATGACTTTTGTCTCACTTAAGTAAAATTCGTAAAATTAAACGTGATGGAAAACTTCCGTACCCATTTTAGGTAATAAAAGTTTTTATTAAAATAAGCAAAACACATCACATCCTATCATGCGTATAGCACATGCACATTGATTTTTTGTCAGAAGACATAGATTTAAAGCTCGATGGCGCAAGTTCGCTTGTTCGGCCTGCGATCATGGCAGTCAAACAACTATCGCCAGGGTGGGTCCTTGAATGGGTGACCAAAAACATATTGATCCCGGCTGCATCTGCAGTCGTTAGCACCCAGCAATCCGCACTGGGCCCGTGTGGTAGGTAGAGGCCGTCTCTCCCTATCCCATCCATAGAGAAGACCTGTGCCCCAGCAGTGGGGACATAAGTAGGCTGATGAAGATGATACTTTCCGACCAAAGAACTGAAAAGGTCGAATGTTGGCCAACAGGCGCCCACTAGTTAATTTAAAATGCCATACACATGTCAGTATGTATTCGTATGGTAATGCGCGTGTGCCGCGGTCACGGCTGAGGGACGGCGAGTGCGCAACACGTGGTCTCGAACAAAACGCTTTTATTAAGCGATCCATTCATTTTGATATAATCAATTGAGGTGTTTGAAATAACGTGGTTTGTCATTAAATTGATTACACTTGCGTTATACATTGTCTATTCAGAAAGGTAAAAGTTTTCAAAGCTTGTGTGTGTTAAGGTGTAAGATATTATCATAGACTTTTTGTGACCAAAGATGAAAATAGTCCCAAGCACTGTCGTACATCATTCACGAACTTTATACTTCCTTAATCGTATCTCAACGTCGAAAGTTTCTATGGAAACTAAGCAGCGCCCCTACCGTATGTTAGAACACTTGTACCCTTAGCACGAACTAATATCGGATTCGAATAGTTGAATTCAAATATTAACAAGTTATGTATGGAAGATTTTCAAATTGCCATACAAAACTTCTTGACATTTGACTCATATCGTGATCGAATCGAACTATTCGAATTCGATGTTGGTTTGTGCTAAGGGTAATGGCTCCTTCTTTCGTTTTCGTTGAATTAGAGTAGGCTTCCAGTACTTTTGTTCTAGTTAATTATACGAATGAAGAATTGAAAGCTTTCCAGGTCTAAATATACATTTGGCTCCCAATGACGGGAGATGAGAAATCTAACAGCCACTGTACCGCTTGATAATTAGGAGCATTGTTTTTCGCATTTGCATCTTATATACTAATTTCTTAACTAATATTGATGTGCGTTCAAATTAAATAACATATTAGAAACACAGTATACCTACTAGAGGTGCTTGGGGGGTACCGTAACTCAGATAGCTTTAGATGTCATAGAGTAGTACACGACACGACAATGTTCAAAAAGCATAAAATTTTGATTATTATTAGTATGCGTTACATCATAAGTAATTTCAAACAAAAAGGGGTATTTCCATTACGTACGTTATCGCCGTTCTCCCACTGCTGTTCAGATAGAGTAGGCCCGTGCCCCATTAGTAGGGACATTAATAGGCTACGAATATGATATCTATCGACGTGTTACTACGAAACTATAATATAATGTATACCTATATATAAAATTCTCATGTCATAGTGTTTGTAACAAAACTGCTCCAAAACGGCCTGACCGATTCCTAAAATAAATTTTGCGCGTATATTCAGTAGGTCCGAGAATAGGACGTAAACTTCTATTTTTTACACCCCTAAGTCATAAGGGTGGTCCACTCTAAAAATGTTTCGACAACTTGGACAACATTGTTATTTTTTATGGTTCAGCACAAAAAATACTTACAACCCTAAATTTTCACCCTTCTATCACAAATCCCTATTTTTATGGCGGAACGAAGTTCGCTAGGTCAGCTTTTAGGTAGATTTTTTTCCAATATTATACATACCATCATATAAACGTTTTTAATCTCCTTTGCTCTGTTGACACTGTCTGTTATTAATATCGAATGTAATAAGTAAATCGTCATCATTAAAGAAATTCACTTTCTATAAATTCTCGTTTTACGCTCAGTGGCATTTCAAACCGATTCAGCCCTTGTTCGCTACGGATCGCTTGGAATCGCAAATTATCGCTCTTTCAAAGGGATTGCTGCGAGTAGCCCCAACATAGCTTTTTGCTGCAATTTCAAAATAATTAACATGTTGTATTTGCATAATTGAGCTTCTTTAATTCTTTGGGGTGCATACTTGACGTTTAAAAATACCACCCGACCGTGAATCGTCGGGTATTAGTAAAAACAAATAGTAGGTACCGGATCACAGAAAACCAGATTCTATTTGACTTTTTTCAACATTAGGATTTATGTTTATAGCGTCAGCGTGTACTTTTGTATCTAGAACACGCCGAGCGCAGAGTTTATAGCTGATGCACATAAATATTAGGTCCTTATATCCATTGGTGTTTTGTACGGGAAAAATCAATAAGGTCTTTTTTTTGCCAAATTTATTTAATTAATCAATGTGTGCACCGTTGTTATCTATGCACTTTTGAAATCCTATAGGTAGTTCATTGATCCCTTTACTAAAAATAACCTTGGGCGCGAGAATCATTAAACTTTTTGAAGGCGGTTTGGACTTCCGCATTTGTATTGACATTCCAATTGTAGCTCATCTAACTTAGTGGTTGTTTGTTGTAGTATTTAATTTTTACAGTACACCATATGACAAAAAAGGTACGAAGGCCATACAGCCTCCAGATATTTTATTTTTCTTTCTGGAATTCCTTTAGTATGCTCTCAATATGCGAGGCACTTGTGTTACCAATTTATTGTTGATCATATTGATTCAACTATACAAATTGATTGATACACTCGAAATTGTCGTATCTAATATCTCGTAAACCAGTTATTTGATAAAAATTATGAAAACAATAAGACATCGGCACAATAACAAGGAATTGTAGTGTATTAAGCAAATGTATTTTTTGCTGCTTGGAGGAGCTCGATGGCGCAGGTGGTAAGCGCATTCGATTGCGATCGTAGAAGTTAAGCAACTTTCGCAGTGGTCGGTCCCATCCAATGATGGGAGACCAAAAAATCTTTTATCTCGAGTTCCACCGTGCTTCGGAAGCCACGTTAAGCCTTTCGTCTTGGCTGCATCTGCAGTCGTTAACCCGCCAATCCGCACTGGGCCCACGTGGTGGGCAATGGCCCAATCTCCCTATTACATTAATAGGGGGGGGCCTGTGCCCCAGCAGTGGGGACATTAATAGGCTGATGACGATGATGATTTTTTGCTGAGACTGAAACGTTGTACCAGTATTTACGCTTAATGAAAACTTTTTATTTGCTGGCTATCATCATCAGCCTATTAAGGTCCCCACTGCTGGGGCACAGGCATTCCCTATGGATAGAATAGGGCAATTGGGTCATTATCCACCACGTGGGCCCAGTGCGGATTGGCGGGCTAACGACTGCAGATGCAGCAGGGACCAACGTCTTAACGTGGCTTCCGAAGCACGGAGGAACTCGAGATAGAAGATTTTTGGTCACCTATCCAATGACCAGTATATTCAGTAGGTCTGGAATAGGGCGTTGATTATTTTTCATACTTCCTTAGTGATAAGGGTGGTCCATCCCATTTTATATATTTACTAGTTACTGTCCGGTACTTCGTCCGCTTTAGCTTTAATTTTTTGAAAGTCCCTCGGTAACCCAACCCCTTTCCGGAATTAAAAGTATCGCATGTCTCAATCCAGGTCTATTATCTGTTCCAAATTTCATCCAAATCCGTTAAGTGGTTTATGCGTGAAAAAGTAACAAACAAATAAACAAACAAACTCACTTTCGCATTTTATTTATTAATTAGGATTCGTTCGACAAAAAAAAATTGTGGTTTAGATTCTTTCAGACTACTACAACAAACAAAAAAATGATAACCTCTAATTGACGAAATGAAATTTCGTTAAGCTTCGTTACCGAAGGTTCGTTTCGAAGAAAGAGAGTTAAGCCTCTATTCCCAAGAAATCCAGAGCAAATTTTTCTTGACTACTTTGAACTTGTTCGAATCCAATTCGTGACCAAAAAATAAAAGGTAAAATTGATCGACTAAGTAGCTTGATTTTTATTAGTAATATTTCCAAGAATTTATTCAAATGAGTTAATCAAAAGTGAGCTTGCCTATCTCAGATCTTGTTCTTAGTAATTATCAAAGTTAATAAGACCTTAGAAACAAGAGGTGTTCTTAGAAATAATGAAAAATGATTTTTAACTCATTCTGAAAGATATAAGCTATTCGTTATTCTCTTTGTAGATAAAAAGTCCAAATTGGTTTTTGACTCAACTTTACTTAGTTAATGGTTTTATGCAAATTTATATGGATAAAGTTTTCAATGTGCAAATTTTGAAATGAGGTCATAAGGTTGGTTTTTTTTTGTGATAAAAACATAAGAGAATGAAAATAACGCGAAAAAGTTGGTTGCAGGTAATTAGACCCGCTTTTCTAAGTGAGTGAAGAGCACACGTAGCAAATTTTACTTTACACTGCTGGACAAGAAAACTGCACATTCAGCAATTAAATAGCAAAAATCTGATTCCGTGTTGAAATATTAGTTCAAATTCTATTAATATACATATCATCATCACCGTCATCATCAGCCTATTAATGTTCCCACTGCTGGGGCACAGGCTTTCCCTTTGGATGGGAGAATGATGAGGGAGATTGGGCCATGACCCACCACGCGGGCCCAGTGCGGGTTGGTGGGTGCTAACGACTGCTGATGCAGCTGGGACCAACGGCTTAACGTACCTTCCGAAGCACGGAGGAGCTCGAGATAGTAAATTTTTGGTAACCCATCCAATGACCGACCACTGCGAAAGTTGCTCTATTTCAACGACCGCAGCCGAACGCGCTAACCACTGGCGCCATTGATCTCCTCGAGATATATATATATATATATAATATATTCTATACACAAATAAACGACTGCTTGTTTTAATAATCGGACATAAAACTTCATTTCCAACCGTTTCTTAAGTTTCACTTCGAGTATTTTTGTTTAATTCATTACTTATATTATAAATGAAAAAGTGTGTCTGTCTGTTTTTATTTCTGACTGTCTGTTATCTCTTTACACTTAAACTGCTTAACTGATTTTGATAAAATTTGGTAAAATTATAGTGACATAGGATATTTTTTATCCTAGAAATCAACCTTTACGGGGGTGGAACTTTGTATGAAAACCCAATTTTTCCACGCAGACGAAATCGCGGGCACCCACTACCTTATTATAATATTGCTTTGACGTAGTAGTTATTTCATTGATTTTTGGCAAATGTTGAAATAGAACATTAACAAGTTTAAAATGATTGTTATTCATATTAGATTTAAGTACAAGCAGAACGGTTCTATCCTTATGATAACATCGTATAAATAAATTTTATTGTTTATTGAATCATAGGATTTTACATCACTATAATACATACGAATAATGTTAGAATTTTCATGCTTTTATGCTTTACCTTTGGCCCTTCGCCAACTCTGCAAAGTATTCAACATAACGTTAAAGTGTGCATAAAAGTGAAGTTACACGGTAATTATTTCAAGTCAAAATTTCTGTAAATGTTTTTTTATTACTACCTTATTTTGCTCGTCAGTACACGTTAGATGAAGATTTTTCCCTTATCTCCCACTACGTAGCGGTAACGAGGCGAAAGTTTCACGTGTATACCGTCGTTAAAGTCCCTCGGACTTTTTCTTTTAACGAATTTTCTTGGACAGTTGTGTTCGCAGTTCTTATGTGCGTCACTGTAATAGTTTTCATGATTGCCCCAGAGGAATGTGCATTTATTATTGCATATATTGTTCTATATTTTTAGTGATTTTCTATAACTATTGAATCTTGTCGCATGCTGTCTGAAAGTCAAAAAAACATATAGTTAGCTAAGAGCTATCATTTGATTGTAGATAACAAAAGCCAATCAGCGTACAAGGCGCATCGGGGACTATTAAAGGCGATAGGCTGGCAACCACAAGACCCTAATGTAGCATCGCTAAAGTGACATGTTTATTTTTTACGTATTATACGATAAATACGATGCGATTGGTGAGTAAGGTCCCAAGGCTCCACGGAGTACGAGATGGGTTAGGGATGGGTAACGGTGTCAACGATATTTTTGGTATCGCAAAAGTCTTTAGTCTTTGATGGCCGCTTAACATCAGGCAGGCCATACGCTGTTTTACCACCTTTTATGTTAAAAGTAACATAAAAGATAAGAAGCACTGTAGACTGAATATGAACGGATATATCAGAAATCTGTTCAGGAGTTTCTAATTAGTAAATCAGTAAAGCATACTGCGATTCCAATTAGTCCACGTTCTAATACTAATTGGTGATCAAACAGTCCCATTACGTTAGTTATCAGTAGAGTCGAGGATCCGAAAGCAAACCAACAAACTTAGTCAGGTGAGAGCGATCGATGTGTTTGCCATCAGGGTGTTTATACACGAGATGCAAGAGCAGCATTGCAATTCTGTAAGAATAAACTCACTTTTCACCAACAAATTTGCTGATGTAAAAAGTAGTTCGTGTTCTAATTCTAAATCACACCACAAATTCCGAGGTGAAAAGTGAGTTTTTTCCTACAGAATAATAGTACAAGTTAATGGTCGAGCAAGTTCGTTTTTGCTGTTCATAGGTTTTCTCAAATTACACAGTAACAACAGTTATTGAGAAAACCTGCGAAATATGTAATATATAGCACTGTATACACCAAAATACTTTTTAGACGTAATCAGCGTATAATTTAAATTTACTATTCAATTAGTACTCTTAGGTGTAATCTTCTGTATATATAAAAGGCAACCGTTACTAACTGAACTATCAACGTACGCTCAAACCACAGGGCGGATTGCGCTGAAATTTGCTGAATATTAGCATGCGCTAAGAAAGGTTTTTCTAAAATTCATCCCCAAAGAGGTAAAACGGTGGTTCAAATTTGTATGGCAAACTGTTATTTCCACGCAGACGAAGTTGCGGGCACCCACAAGTACATATTTTTTTTGTATATTATCTGACTCTGGTGTAACTCCAGCTTAATATCACATGCTTCATAACTTGGAATTACATAATAATGTCATGCTCAAGTTCGATTCCAAATGCTCGATGGCTTTGATCAAACATAGGCTCCGAATTCAGGCCACTGATTGGGTAATGGTCTCTGCGCTGGAAGCAAAAATTTCATACGTACTGAACTACTGCCGATGTTGCTTTGATGTTGAACGCTTTATCGAAATTCCTTAGCAGTTTCCTTTCCACTGATAGTCTTGCCCACCGGATTGTTACATAAGACATTTATATTACAAGCGATTACCTTTTCTTTTGTTGAAAAAGATTTTTATGGTACGATATCACAAAGATTCTTGTGTAAATAAGATGTGCTCTTGTACTGTAGAAGACACTGATTCAGTAGTTATTTACACTTAGTAGTAGACACTTTACATTTGTGTGTTTAAAGGAAATACAGTCAATTTCCAAAAAATATATCGATTAATAAAGGACATGGTACAGTTTTGTATGGGCTACTGCCCTGACAATGTATAAAGACTCTACTTAGTAATATTGAAATGTAAAGATTCGGGAACTTTTAATAAAGTCACAATCTTGAAAATTATGAGAACTCCTACTATGTCATTACCTTACTATAGTTGATAAAAGATGTAGCCAATTATTTACAGAGTCATCAATTTCGCATTTTCTTAGAATCTTTCATCCCATTTCTCTGATTAACTATTCACAAAAAGTTTTTTAAAGCAAAAATAAATGCAAATAATTTGTTATCGTCGGCCTGACAGGAAATCTGTGAAGTTTTATTTTGTCCATTTGCAAAAATTAAAGGATTAAGTATCATACAGCCTTGTCTCAAGCCTGATCAGAATAATAAAATCTATAATTGTAGGCCTTCAGTGATTTATTATAATTAAAATTAGGGCCAAATATGTCACAGTTTGAAGGAGTTTAGAAATAATATTGTTTATTTCGATATACTTACAATTTTTTTTTGTGTTTATTGCTCATTTATTTAGTAAAACGGAACATTTTGCTTTTAAACAAACATGAAGTCAATTTTTATACTTTTAAATATTTGATTATTTCACGAAAGTTGTATGAGAATAATAAACACGTAATAATTAATAAAAAAATATTGTAAAGTTACGGGCTAGTGCGAAATATTTATACACGTTAAGGGCAGTTTCTTAGCCATGTCCTTTAATAAGTCTTTACCCTATCTCAATAAGCAAAGGACGCGTCGACAGAAAAAAAAAGAAAATGTAGAAAGTAAGAACCCCAAGTCGATCGTCAGGTTGCGCTTGATTGCAACGAAGATTCTAGAACAGAGAACTTTTGACGGTGACGATCGAATCGGGGGCAGTTACATACTGCGTCTAGAATGGCAAACGATGTTTGAATATCTGTGTTAGATTTTTTTAAGTATTGAAACATCTTTTTTCTTTTAATAAGTAGTGTTCTGGATTTCTAAACTCATAAAATGTAAGTTGGGCGACAAGTCGTACAATAACAACGATTTTTTTTTCTTACGTGCTGTATTTGTACCTAATAATATAGTAAATAATACCGATAAACACAAAGTAAAATAAATGCAAGAGTCCGGTATGATAAGAAGAAACCGGTGTGGGGTCCGAATGTGCACTCTCATCGGCCATTGTCCATTAATCGACAGGGTTACTACGCCATCACGTTTTTACTTTTACAAAATTCTTAATTTGTAACAGAACAAACAACATTGTTAATTGTAATTCTTAATTTTTTAAGCATGTAACTGCTCGATGTTTAAATCTAAAGAAAATATTACTAGACACGTTAAACATAGTCAATTAAATTATTTAAATCGCTCTCATTTGTTTTCTCAAATCGCGATATTTAGTGGGAAACAACTTTTTCAATAAATGCAAATAAACTTAATTGCTACACTTAAATAAAAAAATAACTGCTAGTTAACTGGTGATTTGGGTTAATTAGATATTTTTTTATATTAATTTAGCTAGTCTAATGAAATATGAATGACAAATGTTTGACTTGTTTTAGAAAATAACCTCAAATAATCAAAACTCATCCAATTACTTAAATATTTTATAAGACTAGCGTATATCCGCGATTAGACTGCGTAATTAGTTTAGTTTTCATACCGGACTTTTCCATATAAACTTTTATCATCTATTTCGCCACTTTGAAGTTACATTAGTTATTATTAAACTCGCTTCCGCATATTTTGTTACATAGTTAGAATGACAGCCCTACTGCACCCTAAAGCTTACGGCGTAATGGCGGAGAATACCTTTAATACTTAACATATTGTGTGCGTACCCGCATTTCCAGAATTATTGATTGCGTTTGATTGGCATTTGTTGCTCTGTTCCAATATTTGATATGGGCTTTCATCATGATGTTATAATAGTTACACTAA